AATTGGAAGACGCATGGTGGTAGATGCGTTGTCATTTGAACATCTGTGCTAATGCATGGATGATCCACCGTAGCTAGTTTCCATACCAAGAGGGGCGGAAAACGAGAGGAGGGTAATAAGTAAGCGCTCTTTCTTCACTTGCAGAAAGGGGAATCACTCGGACATTGATTTTTTGTTCATTCATTCATTCATTCATTAATGAACCTAATTGTTGATAAGAGGTCGCGGCATTTATGTGAGCGAGATGAAGATGGTGAAAGGGAGATGATATTGGTTCAACCTTGTGCTCTTCTTCATCTGTCTTTCTTCATTCTTCTTCTGCCCGCCCGCTCAACTTCTGGTAAGTGGTGAAGTGACGCCCATAAATTTAGAACCGGTTCAAATTAGGAATTGAAAAAAAGAAAGAAAGATAAAGCTGTCATAGGCTTTGTCTTTTGTGTGTGTAGCGACTGGTGGAACGAGGCCCTGCATCTAGGGGATGCATCTTTCAGGCCAGATACAAGGCCGCACTCGGCTTCTCCCCAGATGCAGAAAAGACAAATTATGGTGGTGAATCATTCCGATCCGAGTTCTAGCGGAAGATTCATCCTCACTTTGCACATGTGGTGAGTGGTGGCAGAGGTCACCTAATGATGAGGCGGCACTTCTTTTACCATCACGAGCGAACGCAGTAAGCCCAAGCCAAGCACTAGTATGCATGGGAAATGTTTTAGCTCAGCCCTGTGCAAACATAACTTCTCTTTCCTAGGGCCTAAGGACACATCCAGCCCAGGCAGCCGTGTGTCCAACCATACCTGACGATGATCCTGGCAGTCAAATCACTACCCTGCAGCAATGGATTGAAGACCATTTTCCTGTTTGTGTACGACCTACAAACGAAGTTGCGTGTAACTGAACTCGCCAATTGGTGAAACCATACTAGCATACACTAAAAGCGCACAGTGAGAGAGACTGCCTCGACACAGTATGACGGAGTACTGATTGTAGTGAAGAGGGGCACAACGGCTCTCATGACCAGAATACTGCCATACACAGCAAAACACCAGCCCATGCCCCATACCACGCTCGCATAATCCCGTACCAAATCAGGGTAACGTGGAAAAGAAGTTGCCAACGCAGTCTGTTACAATTAAGAAGCAAGGGGCGAAACCAAACTGTCATACATAAAAAATTTCACACAGACATTGCCTGGCTGTAGTATCAAGGAGTATTCCACACGGCAGGGAAGAGGGTGGAGAGGAAGAGGTGTGCAACATGGCCCTCATGAACAGGACATTGTCATGCAATGCAAAATACAAGGATTTGCCCCTGCCCTACGCCAGACTTCGGCCCAGAGACCCTGCCCTAGCCCAGAGCACAGAAGACTGACAGCAGTTGCTATTGCAGTAATGGTTGCACCCACCGAGTAGCTTATGCGTGGAGAGGATGGCATGAGGGGCCATTTTCTGGCCCTAAGTGGTGACCCCGGAACAAGTGATGACTTTGGAGCCAGGGCCTGCGCACATGTCAAGACATCCACAAAGACAAGTTCCCTGCTGCATCAGCATGGATGTGACATATCAGGTATAGAGGGTTTGGGTTGACTCCGCGATGTGTCAGCAGGGATGGACAAAGACCAACTTCACCCCTTTCTGTACACCTGGCAAATACAACTTCCGTTAGCAATGAACTAGCAGGGATGGAACACAGCTACCAGAGTGCGAAGCGTATAGTCAGGCATTCGCTCATTGTGTGTCAGGGAGCACTGTACACAGCTGGGCCCATCACCCACTGACTGTAGAAAACTGTCATTGACACAGAGTGCCAGCTGTAACAGCATATACAACCACACAACCCCCCTGCGTCCCACCCTATGGGAAACCACGACACACTAGACTTTGCTCCTCAGTCAAAATTACACCCAGTTTCCTTGAAGAGGTGCGATTCAGGCCACGCTCTGCCTGTCGCCCTCCACACACACGAATAAAAAACAAGGACACCACACATGGACAGTAGAAATTTCAGCGTGAGGGATCTTAGGATATCATTCTTACTGCTTAAGCATGGCTACAGTGTTCAAGATTATTCCCAGTAGCTGTCGTACGTTATGCACAGCATGAGGTTTTGAATTTCGTTCCATGCAGAGAGTGCCAAATGTGTGTGCACATGCAGTAGCCCGCTGCATGAGCATGCAGAGAACATCCATCGGGGTGCCAGCGCGGCTATTACCAACAAGCTTGGGTGACATCTTGGTACATATGGTAGTACCAGATGCACCAATGTGAGTCAGGGCAGTCTGTCATAGGGGTTGTGGTCACCTGCCTCAGGCCAAAGGTCCAGAGTCCAGACCCTGCATTTGGCATTCAATCACAAATGCAGCAGATTTAAAGGTTGCCCCAACATCTCTTTTGCTTGAACATTAGTTCTCTGAAGGAATCCATCCACGTTTCTGTCAATGGGAGTTTAGCCTAAAGGCCAGCCTTGAATCCCAGCTGATAGCCTCTGCCAACTGGTTAATGCTTGACTGAAAAAGTAGCACACTAGTTGGTGGTAAAAACATACATGATGCAATACTCCACTGAGCACCTATCCTCTCTCAAGAGATATGCACTTTCGTTTGAAAAAGAGAAAACACATGCAGGTCGGATACAGATTTGGAAGGTCCCTTCGGAGCTCGGCCATTTGGTTACCCGGATAGATCATTGTGCCCCCAGTCTACATCTGTGAACCAGTATTTGTTCTGTGTAAGACCTATTGCAAGCTGTAGCCTACCTACGCCTACTGGAAGCAACCCCCCCAGATGCCATTTTAGGCCTACCGCAGAACACTGGAGACAACCAGCCAGCAGGCACCTCTTCATCAGGTGGACTCAACACCGACAAGGTGCATCCCCCTTTTCCATCAAGCAGACCCTAGGGAACCCACTCCCCTTCCAACTTGATGTGCTTTACCTTCCCTCCCCCTCCCAGCAACCCCCTAGGCAGACTTTCGAGTACTAGGCTAGCTCTCCATCCGGTCCCCATCTGGTTTCTCTCCTCAGTACGACCCTTGAAGCCCAGCCCCCTCCCTGTACCACTCAACCCTCAGGTATCGTAACTGCCTTACCTCTTCCCTCTACTCCTCCCTCTACCCCACCCACTCTATGCTCCTAACATACATTTATGCAGGCTGTGACTCTATGCTCCTAAACATCCATTTATGTAGGCTTGAGCACAGCCTGAACAAAATGTTAAGCGCCCGAAGTGATGACTCTACCCAGCCCCTCTTTACTATGGACTACAGGAAATCTTCTAGTACCCAGACCATGGTAACATTACCTCTATGGTCTAGCCCATACTTGAGTGGCAGGCAGAGCCTGCATTGTATAGGAGGACCCCTACACCGTACCCTATTGAAAACAATACACCACCCTCCCTCCGTCCATGGTGGAATACGACCACAAGTATCAGTGATAATCAGAACAACCCATGTACTAAACACCCAGGTATTCCTTCCACCAGTGCAGCCCCAGCCTACAACCAACCCTTGGACCGAAACAGGCAATGTCTGTAGCTCTTTAGCGTATATCAGTCGAAGAGGGTGTGCGAGTGGCCCTAAGACGCCACAACCTAGCGCGTGCTAATGCTAATGCACCAAGTTGCGGAGCGCGTGCTAATGCTAATGCACCAAGTTGCGGAGCGCGTGCTAATGCTAATGCACCAAGTTGCGGGTCAAGAGACTTGAACCCACAGCCGGAACCACGAGGGTGCATCAGCCACTGGTGCTCTACAAACTGAGCTAAGCCCGTTCACAGGATACACACTTATATCCAAGGGGCAGTTGGACCTCCGCATACCCAGATCTAACGCCAAGGCCAACCCTCGGCACTGCTCTTTAACCCTCCATGCTGATCAATAGTCACATAAAAATTAGTCAACCGCTTCCATGCAGGAAATGTACATACAGCAGTCCAGCCAGTGAGCTGCAAACACTTTGCTTGAAGCAGCTTTCACCCCAAGTGGAACAGCAGCAGGAATAGCCACACAAACATAGAGAAGTCAAACACACGCGAGTCCAGAAAGTAGGGAATCGACAGCAATCACCTTACCTGGAGATCATCCTGGCTCCCAAACGGTGAGCTCAGGAGAGATGTCGACCCTTCTCTAATCCGAGAAGGAGGAGGACTACTTTCAAGAGACCCCAGACCCCTGTCTTTGGGCTTACGCGCTTGGCCATTAATGAGGGCACGCAGCCCTGTAAACCAAACATCTGCCTCATCCTTGTCTTTACATATCTGCTCCGGCATGGCAGTAGAAGGTCACAAAAACCACACGCACATAGATATATCAACTGGTCAGACAGGGGCACAGCATGTCAACAACAGACAATCAGTTCCCTTGCATTCACTGTGTCAGTGATGGACAACTGGTTAAGCCTTCTATCTACTGCAGCACCCGAAACCCCACAATCACACAGGTAAGAACTGAGCAGAATGGAAACAAGGTTGCCTTGCCCATTGTCAGTGATATCCTCTGCCTGTCCAGACACAACCGCAAACCCATCGGTGTAGACTAGCCACCAGACCACCACCTCCCTCTTCCTCCTCCTCTTAAAATCTTGCATTTTCTCACTTCACTTGCCCGCACTCGTGACTCTGTAGGGCCATGATCATGAGGCTGATAAAAGCAGTCTGCAAAGAGAAAAGCTGGAAGTTACAAAATGCATGACACTGCCCCAACCCATTACAACATCCGAAATGATGCCCAACCGAATACTTGTTATCTAGAAGACGCATGGACATGCGAGCCACTTGCGTTGCACAGAAGTATGTCACAGAGGACTGTGTGAGCTCCTTGCCTCAGATAAAACAAGATAATGCCCAACGGTCACGCTTCATGCCGGGGAGGAGTGGACATGCTAACTCTCTGCTTTGGATAGAACCATGTCACACATGAATACATGAGCACTTTGCTCAGGGAACTACTTGTTGCCCGACCATCAGCATCAGTCCAAGTCCGTGAGACTGGCAACAATGTCCAAATGCGGTATACACAGAGAAATCTTAGGTGATTTGGCAGACAAGGGGAGACTCGTTAGACTAGCTCAATGGACTTCTAAATTAACAAACACTTGGGCCTGATCTGATCTTCACACAGCCCCTAAACCTTGGCCAGTGACCGAAGAACCATCTATGACTTGCGGCCAGTATTAGCCTAGCTGCATGGATTCTAGATTAGCAAACACTTGGGCATGGTCTAAACTTCGCGCAGCGTCTGGCCTTGACCAGTGACCTCCGAATCCAGATAAATACTCCACAACATGCAGCCAGTTCCAATATCGGACCTAGTATGGAGCTTTATTGAGTGTCGACAGGAAGTTCACCCCTGTCTAATCTCATTGTTTGCGACTAAACCTGCAACAACAGGACATTTAGTAACCACTTGTGACTAAACGTGCACCGGCTCATTCAGTCACAGATGTATAATGCCAGAAATCTAAGATCAATTTCTGACAAGTAGGGTATGACAACTACCTCACATGTACCTTCTATTTTACTGCATAGAACCACTCTTGCTCTGGAGTGAGCTCGGAAGGAATCCGTAGAGCAATGTTCTGTCTGTGATCTCCGAAGCTAATAGTTGGTAATCTGCTCGGCATGATAAGGTGACTTCCTATACGACATTTACATAACTTCACACATGCCCAGTGTTAGGTTTACGGAGCATAGATACCTTGAGATTGATACTGTGCTTTGTCGCCCTATTGTCAAGGTGGAACAGCACATCAGCTGTTTTTTTCAAAAGCTCGTGACATATCCCATCAGGGACATGTGTTGTGAAATACAGTGTTCGTTAGTTTTGTTGTGCTTTGAGCCGTAGGTAGGTTAATGTCATGAACCCCATAAGTTCTGTAGCTTGCAATTTTTTCCCCAGTGTTTTGAAGTCTGCGATACTCTCCAAGGAGCTTGTCCAGCACAGGAGTGCACCCTCTGCAGTTGCCAGGGTGTTCTTCTGTAGTTCTCAATTGCAGATTAATATCTGCTGCCAGGATCGAGTTGGCGGAGACATTTTCTCAGAGCAGAGTATCAAATGACCAGTCTCACCGAGCCATTTATATGAGAAGCAGAGAAAAAACGACCCCTGAAGCCTGCCCACAAAGAGACGTCACTCCTCTACCTGGGTGACAGCCACTTCGATCAAAATACGCATTCCGTTTGGCACAAGTTTTTTTACGCCCTTAATTTTTTTCGTCTATTTTTTAGTGTGTTTCTCTGATGCAGCATGACGTAATCTGCATCCCGTGTTCTTTCTTAAACCACCAGTACTTGGCCCATACATCGGCCGCGGGGCGTTGTCATTAACGCCCCGCAACTTCCGGAGGCTCGGGGTACCGGCCCTCAAAGTCTGGCACCGCCGGCCAAAGCAATTTCTTTTTGTTGCGCTGGCGGGTCGGCGCGAAACGGCGCGCAGCCCGTTTTCAGGCTTGGCATCGATAGCCGGGCCAAGTACTGGTGGTTTAAAGATTTTCCAAAGTTGGGGTACTCAGAAAATAGCACACACCCCTGGTACTCCCCTTGGTCGGGTACACCGACCCTTTGTTTTCAGGATCTTGTATACAAGCACGTTTTGACGAAGGGGGCTGGGACTGGTGGTTCACTAACGTTTGATAGACCAATTTCAACTGCCAAACGATGCCAGCCAGGTAGGATGCATGAGGTGTGCTCATGTATCATGGATTTTGTGGTTGCACCAATGGCATTCGGAGGGATGTCCTCCATGGGTTCTCTTCCACAACAAACAACTGATGATACACATCGATAAAACTGCAACCGATGACTGGATCACAACACAGTTAGTCGACCGGGTGTTTCCAGAGACAATAAGCTTATTCAGGGATCACTCGACACTATTAAACATTTTGACAACACAGATATCATTCAATGTGTCTTCTCATACTCTCATCAATACGATATATGTGGGACGAAATGATATGCGGGAAGAAATGTATTTGATCCATATACTAAGACCATATTCGCTATTTCGTCTTTAGGAGTCTACGGCCAGAATCCCGCCAGCACTCTTGCCTACCTGCAATGCTTTGCCACACTGCACATGCAGCACACGCCATATGCACACACCAAAACATGCAAAAAAAAAACGAAAAAGAACCTGAGTGAGGATGCCGCCCGGCCAGTTGGGCCCGGGGGGGCTGCCTGGGTAAACCGGGTGGGCCAAAAAACCGCCCAGAAATATATATATACTTCTTTTTTTTTTCTTTTTTTTTTTGAAACCGGGTTTGTTCTGCGCTTGGCGAGCGGACTCTGAATCTGCAATAAAATTTTGGTTTTGGGGGGGGAG